AAAAGTAAATCAGAAGAGAATTTATAGTAAATAAGCAGGCAAATTTGCCTGCGAAACCCTACAATCTAAGGGATAGTATCCCTTAAAATTTTGTAGAATATAAAATACCTGGAATACTATAGAGCATCCTTTACGATACTTCACAGACATACGACCTTTCATTAATCAGTTTCCTCTTTTTTGTATAGGCTTTATATTTAGATAACTTTCAAACTTTAAACTTATAAAAAATCCTATTTATTTTTATTATTTATACTGTAAGCTAACATATATAAAAAGGCAAAGTATGTTGAGTAAAACTCAAGTGAACTTACAAAGATTCTAGTATTTGTCTTGTCATTTCTTAAAGTCTTTTAAAGCTATCTAGCCATTCTCCAAATTCAACATCATTTAAATCTTCATCCAAATTTATCTTTGATTCCTCATTACAGATAATTTCTCTACAAGTATCCATTATCATATTATTATGATCTAGCTTGTATTTCTCAAAAAGTTTCTTAAAAATATTGCAAAATGATTCAGGAATCTTTGTGAAAGGTTCTGATTTAACATTTAGAACTCCAGAATATATAGGATGGTCAAATCTAAGGCTTTCAATATCAACTTCTTCTAATTCTGTATCAATTCTTTTCTATGTAATTTTTCATAACCAGAACTATTATTTACAACTCATCCAACATCACGTTTTAAAAGCTGTAGATTTACATTAGCATCTTCAAACCATGTCTCAGCATCAATTACCAAAGCTTTCATTCTTGTGAGCGAGCATAAATATCCAAATGCAGTCTCCACCTAAAATATAGTTATCTTTAGCTTAGGCTCAATGTTAATTTAATAAATTAAACTGAATATCATTTTGCAGGATCAAATTAGGTTTTCATTTTCATATACTATCAAAATGCTAGCAGTAGATCAGCCAAAAAGCATGTTCGCTAGACATATATTATTAGTTACTACTATGAAGAAGTGATAGAATCATGTCGAACACAGCGTATTCACTAATATACATGCCAAGAAAACCTAAAAATACAAATCATCATATCCATATATTTATTATAAAAATAATTCATTGTCTTACCCGTTTTGCCAATTTTTTTTTAGTATCAAAACTTTGAAGCTTCTTAATCCATTTAACATCCTCTGAGGGAACCTGCTCTAAAACTCTTTCCAAAACAATTTTAAAATTCTCCACCTCCTTCCGAGAACACCTATTTATTTACCTTTCTCTACTTATATAAACAATGTCGTGAAAATTCTGACGATACCAAGGGTTCTCTTGTTAAAAGGAATTTTTTCATATTTTGATAAAATAAAAGTTGAATATTAATATAAAGCTTGCTAAGCAAAGTAAAAAAATAATGTAAATGCATAATAATTTCACTATACTGCCGTTTAATATTTGTAATTTCCTCATTCACATCTTTCTGTCAAAGCAGAAGAATATGCAATGCTTTTTATGCCAAAAATATTGTGTTCGAGAATAAAGGCATATAGGGTATGCATTAAAAATCTCGACTTTAAAAGGTATTGGAGGTAATGCATATATAGATTTCTCATCCATCTACTTAATACTATGACCTGGCAACATTATATAATGTATTTCATTCAGAATGGATAAACCTTATATAGTAGAAATAGTTCGTCTCTCCAGAGTAAATTTACATATCAGTTAATATATTATTTTTCTAGAACATTGCAAAGAAAAATTTGAAAATATTTTTTGAGAAGGATCGATTTATGTGTGAAATTATTTTATCGCACAAGCAGATAGTCACACTCACATATATGATTGGCATTATGTTACTATTACATCATATATGCACTTCACAAGCTTTAACAAGGATCAGGAATATGTTTATTTTTGTCACATATGCCTTACATGTCATTGGCAAAGTGCAGGTAAATATGGAGCTAATATTACATTTCCTATATAAAACTATTTTTTATTTATGTATCACTTCGATTGTATTTTAAAAAATCTATAGATGGTTTTCTCCTGCAGGTGATATATTTTACAGATTAGTTCTATGTCTATAAAATTATATTAGATATAGCATTGGAAAACATTTCTCAAGGATACTCTTAGGATGCTTTATCTCTATACCACTAATTACTGTTAGGCAGGATATTAATATACAAATCGAGTTATACTAACATTTTCATTCTGACTACTAGTATATTAACTAGACTTTTTTTAGTATCAAGATAATATTCAGGATTCTGTGCCCATTCTATCATAGTATACCAATTTGATATATAACCTTTTATTGTAATATTTTTCTAGCATGAGCAAAGAGTACCCAACCTAATTGATATAATATTTGATTTTTTTTCTTTTTCGCCCAAGTTATAAAAAAAAGGGTATGATTATATAGCATATTAAAATAATCACTTTTTCAGTTAAATTTTATGAGTTTCCTATTAATATAATAATAAGCTTCATCATAAGGAATAATACCTAAATACTTCTACCTGTCAGAAGTACCATCATTTCTTACCACCTCCCAAACTTATTTTGCCAAAGATACAAGTCTCTTCTTATAATTCCTGTAAGTTTATTGGATCAGTAATGGCAAATTATAAGATCATTTGACTTGAAATTTATAATAACAATAAAATTATTTGAGGTCATTTGAGGTCATTTCAAGGTCATTTCAAGATCTTTTGCAAATCCTGTGTTGGATAACTGTTGCATAAAAATTTTAAACTGATAGTTATATTGTCTAGCAATCAAGAATTTATAAGACCGCTTTATAGATTTTCCTGAAATACTTCACTAAAATAGTTATACAGTATATTAGAGGATCTAATTCAAAATAGGCAAATTAGGTTTTTTATCCAGCAGGTGATACATTTCATAATTATACTAGGTGATCATACATGCAGATTATATAGCTATTCATTTCACAAAAAAAATAAAGTATATGTTATGTTTGGCTAAATATAATTAAAATATATAATGCTAATGTTTGATTAAAAGATATTAAGTCTATTTTTTTTCTGCATTTTTTTTTACACAGAATCGAAATATGCTTCAGCAAAATTGCCCAAAGTAATCCTACTAGAAATATTAGACATATTTGATTGATTATTCCAAAGATTTCTAATCTCAGATGTATTTACACTATGTTGCATGGGGTATCTCTCAAGACCACCCATTAATTTTACAGGTTTTTGTGGTAATGGAGGAGGAATTGGCCTATTTAGTGCTTCAGATTTTGGTTCAACATATGATGAGAAATTGGTAAAACCATTTCTTAGTTACCAGAGGTAACAGAAACATTAGCTTGCTCGAAATTTGAAGCACTTGGCATAGTATTTTCTGCTATAGTTATTTTAACCTGCTTATATGTTTCATTGATAATTGACTGAGTATCATAATCATATGATACCGATGCCAATTTATCCTTTTCTGAGTTGAGGTAGATTGGGAGAAAAGCTTCAGTTGGAGACGCTTAATTTTCGTCTCTTCTCATAATATGTATTGTTTATATTGCCAAATTTCAAATTCCCTTCTATCAATAGATTGAAGAATTTCTTTTCTTCTTGCATGTTCATTCAAAATACTATTTTCAGAAATACATCTCTTCAAGTACTGTAGCTATCTTGATAGATACAAGTGCTAAAAAAAGTATCAGATATGAAAACTAAGGAGTCATATATACTACAATATATATAACTGGTTGGATTAGCATGGACTTTATCACTTTCATATAACTTTTTACAAATTGAAATATACCCATTTTTAGAAAGGATTTCTGGATTCTCTTTAAGTATTTTTCTAAATAGGCCACGAATATGAGAGCATCACATTTTTGGTGTTTCGTGCTCACACATATGTGATAAAGGTCATATTGCATCAAATATATTTCTATATTTTTCAAAGTTTACATCAACATAGCTTACTCCAGAAAACTTAGAATAGGCTCTACCAACTAAATCCATATTAGCATTTTAGTAGACGATTTTATTGATTTATAGTGTTTTTAGCGATTTTAACTGATTTAGCAATATTATACTCTAATAAATATCAGATTCATTTTATTCAATTGTAGGGATTTATATAGGTCATATCTTCCCGGCTATACTAATTTTATATTAACATACACAGCATCTTTGGCTAAATCGACTTGTAGAATGATGTACTGTATATCATATCACATGGAATCTCCCTAGTTCCCTGCTAGTTCCTTGATAGTTCTAGAAGAGTTCCAGAGCTGGTGAGTTTCTATAAATCATGAGATGGTTGGCTAATTATATTCGAAAAAATTAGATAAGATATGCTGACGCAATACAAAGGAATTTTGTTCACTAATTATTCAGTGTCAGTATTGATCAAAAAATTTGTCCACTAATTATGTAGTGTTAGACATGTATAGTATGTCTACTAATTATGTAATATCAGTATCAATTAAAAAAAATAAATGGCTGAACTGACTAAACTTTATTAATATATGTTTTCAAAACACTATTTTTTACACTATTGTTATCTTATGATACTAACGACTGAAAATTAGTATTAACGCAAGATTAACAAGAGATTTAGCTTTAAGGCTTTATGATACAATTTATGGAGAGCTACTGAAGGTTTAACGATCAAATGTATTTTAAAACAAAGTATAATTTCTGGGTTAAGTATTTAGAGTTTTATTAAAGAAAAGAATTATTACAAGTGTATTTGTTAGCA